TAGAAATGGAGATGAGCACCAACCCCCAGAGTTGGGCACGACTGAACTTAATGTTAAGGGAAAACCTTTACCTTTACCTTTACTTATCCATTTTAGTATGTAGGATCTTAAACATGGAGAACTTGTGGACCTCCAGCTGTTGTTGATGCCCATCAACATTGGGATGTTGACTATGGCTAGGCCGACTAGTGTCTATGCTGAGAAGTATCTTGAGGACCATAGTTGCCCTCCAAGGTTATTGGAGGTTGTGTAAATATTTTGGCGTATGAATGCATGGTATTCCTAAGACCATCTTTCCATTAATGATGGTGTCTTGCTCTTAATGGATGAAAAGTTCAGCCACTGTTGATTGCCACATCGTGGAAAAAATCAGATAAAGGAACTTGTCATAATAAATTATGAAGGTTTTCATGACACTCATACAACATTTGAGTTCAACACTTTTTGTGTTTTTAAGACTTTCTGTCACATAAGCTCATGAATTATAATGTTGCCCTCTGGAGCAGCATGCATAGCCCTTGTCTATGTGAGAGTCTTAATGGTATTTGAAGAATGCTATCAGGTCCCACTCTGTCTTCTACTAGGTTAGAATCTCTTTAAACCTTATATATGAAGTCATACACTCCTAACATCAGCTTTGAAGTTTTTCAGAGCAGGACATTGTGCATTGGGGCCATTTAGAGTTTTTATTAAGATAGAAAAACAGTGTATGTGTGTGAAAGGAGGAGGAGAGACAGCAGCAACTATGCTGAACACCCTTCTCATACTAATTTAATATAATTTAGCAAATTCTAGTTTTAGACAAATGTTAAAAATACAGTATGAACCCCCATACCATGTGACTGATTTTTTTCACTTACCTGCATCTGAGAAAATACATCTCTGGTAATTTTCTAGGTCCTCAAAATGATTCTATAGTATGCTTCTGTGAGAAGTTACCATGGCATCATGTTGAAAGAGCTAGCAATTTCCTAGAAAGGATACCTCTCTGGGGTTTACCTAGATCCTCCAGGTGATTGTGTGGAAGTCATTCATTTCAATAGAATTTGCTGTTATGAGGAACACATGCCTTATGGATATGGGGTTTGTACTGTACACCTATATTTGCACCCCTTCCCTGTTTAGTCTTTTCCAAACTGCATGAAAAAATGTATTGAAATTTTGTTTTGTAAACAATGTTTTTTATCATACAAATATTGCTGTGTGCTGCTTTAAAATATTTTAATCTAAGTGGTTTATACATATATTTACAAATAAATAAATATGTGAACACATGCAGCATCCACAACTGTTGACAACATTCTAGATGATATCTGACCATGCAGAATAAAGTGGAATCTTGAAAAGCACCATTCCATTAGGCTAAAACTCTAAAGATATTTTAGTACTGAACTGATATTTGCTGCCAATGGTGGACTAAACTGCATGGCTTTGGAGTTTTTTTGGAACAGGAAGAAAATTGATGAAATTACTCATTGTTTTCTTCAAAAATTACATCCCTAACCATTTTCCGTAGTTGATATTTTTCAGCTGGATTCACTGTTTAAAACTTCAACTGCAGAAGCCTCGTAACTTGTCTCTTGGTGAGCTTGTGTTGTTGTTGCATCTTCAAGTAATTTCAGTTATGGTAATTGCAGTCTCTCAAGTCACTCCTGACATGACAAGAAAAAAAGTTATGGTAATTCTTAAAACAACTTACTGTGTGGTTTTCTAGTCAAGATATGTTCAGAGAGGGTTTGCTTTGAATTTTTCTGAAGCTCAGAGAATATGACTTGCTCAAGGTCACATGGCCAAATGGATAGTCAAAACCTGAGTCATAATTCAACACCCAAATCACTGTATCATGGTGTGTTCTGATGATATATACATATGACATACAATAGCATCCAGGATTTGCACTTTTTAAAATCCAGTTCAGTAAAATTTAGTTTGAATTTGACCTTACAAGCTTGGACCACTTTGAATTAGGCATATTCTTGATTTCATTTCTGTCCTTATTTGCCTGTCCTTACCTTGTAGTCAATAGCTAAATGATCTTCCTCATCTACAGAAGGTCATAAGAAAAGGATGATGGTTTCATGGCATCAGCATCCAGATGTTCTGCCATTTACTAACACTCTATTGTCCACTAGATGGCAGAAAGTCAACACCGAATTCTGCAACACCAATAGCTTTACAAATTGATGTGGTTTATATAACAACACAGTCTGACAGCTAAAGCTAGCAACACAGTGGTCCATTCACAATAGATTCATGTCATTGCATGGCTGAGACAGATTTATCTGATCAGTTGTGTTCAGGTAAACCAAACAGACTGAGCCACTGTACAAACAGGAGTTCTTTTCTGTTAGACAAAGGCTATGTCATTCTTTTTTTTCTTCTCTTTGTTCCTGGCCTGTTTAATCTGTATTCAGCTGACAGCATGGTGTTTCATTAGCAGTAGGCACAAGGCTTCTGATTGAAGAAGTATTTCTACAGAAGTACATCTTTGTGACCCTTATGTAAAGGTTAATCTCCAATGTACTGTTTCCGTTTTTGAAAAAGTGGTTTCTGACACTATCTAGCTTAGCCATTGTGATGACAAGCAATGATTTTAAACATCTTGGCTCACCAGGAGCAAAGGTGTCCAAAGGAGGTTAGTTTTCCAATAGAAATCAATCTGTCCATGAGCCCCATTACCGGAATAGTATCCCAGAAAAGATTATGATGCTTATGATAAGTAGGAGGCAGTAGGAAAATAGAAAGTCCACATTTCAGATGGATAGATTCTATCAAGGAAGCCATGGCCCTGAGTCCACAACACCTGGGCAGGGCACTTGAGGAAAGGGTGACTTGGAAGTCTCCCATCAATAAATCAAAGTTGATGAGATAGAAGTTCAGAATAACAGCAACTCTATGTGCACATGGCATTTCTTTATGAAAAGCTAATTAAACAGATTATTCTAGTGTTATGCTACATTTTCTTCCTTTCAGATGTGTCTAATGTCTGACTATAGTTCTTTTTTGCTCTGTCCTTATGTATTCACAGATTTTTTAAAAAGGGAGTATCATCTTGCTAATGTGCTAGGACAGGCTAAGTTGAATCTTAATGTGGAATTATGTGCAATTGACCATGGAATGCCCTCAGACTTTGAACTCTGGATGGCATGTTTTTTTTAACCTGAATGTATTTTAATCATGTTTATTATGTTGTAATTTTAATACAAACCATTTTTACGTGAATTTTGTTTGTTTTGAGGCACTGTGTTGGTGCCATTTGTAAGCTACCTTGAGTCCCACTGGGGTAGAAAAAGGCGGGATATATATATAAGGTAAATAAATAAATAAGCTTCTCACTGTTTGTGGAAATGATTTTGCAATGCCAAAAAGTACATCTTCATTTTCTGTATCTCTATTGTTTCAGACTGCAGTGGTTTTGTAATGCTGTGTAAGCTGACATATCGCAAAGCATCTGTTCATATTACAGATTCAGTATACAATGTCAGAGCTTTTCAATGGAACAGAAATGTAGAACATGTGGCCCCTTAAAGTCATTGCTGGGCCACAGAAGGCCCCTACCCCCTTTCCTTTGGGGAAAAAACGTTGTTTGTTTTCATTTAAAATACCCATGCCATCCAGAGTTGTGGAGACATTATCACCATATCACTCTAAGACTGTTCAAATTTATTTCTTGGTCTTAAGAAAGGCCTAACATAAACATACAACAATGCTGGGGTGGAGTCAAGAAACATAGTGAAATTGTCCCTATATGGCTGAGTAGAAAATTGAACCCTGGTCTCCAGAGTCATTCAAACCACTATGTCATGCTTGCTCTTCAAGTTGCACATAGCCAGAGACAAAGTGAGAAGGGTTTGCTAATTGAACTGATGTCTACAAGAAACCAGGATTAAATCTACATATGGCCGACAGAGTGGAGACCCCTCCTTCACTATTCTAAACATATCTTCTGGATTATGAACCCAAGTGGAACATTTCTGAATATACATATTTGGAATCATTATTTTGCACATAGCATTGCTGACAAAGGTGGGTCTCAGGCTCTGTCACAAACCTTGGCCTTTATGAGTTCATCCCACAGGCATGCCTACTATCATTTTTATGACTTGTACTTAGTGGGCAAAGCCCTTGTCTTATGTTTCCAAATACTAGGGTTTCCAAAAAGCTCTTTGGGAAATAATGAAGAGTAGACAGTCAGTAATTATCAAGGTTCCCTATGTCATGGGAAACAACAAAGACATTCCACTGAAATGGGAAAAATGGAGGACAGTAGACACACAGAAGCAATTAGACTAGTAAATATAGACCCTCAGGAAATAAAAGTGCTTACAGTGAAAGTAAGCTCTGATTATCAAAAAGGCACTTACTAGACATTGGGATAGCATGATGTTCGTGATATACATAAACATAATTCCATTGTTTTGTCTGGTCATTGTGAATGTTTGCAAGCCCTTCCTACCTCTGCAACAACCAAAACACCCCCACCCCCATATTCACTATGTTTCTGTGATAGCGATCCAAGCAGACATTCTATTGCTGGTGGAGAGCAGAAGGTAATGGAAGAACATGTCTATGTTCCTGTCACCAGAGGTAAACTAACAACATCATTTGTGGAGGGTCATGGGGATTTGAGTGAAATATATCCTTGGGTTGTGTCTGGCATCTACTTTACTGACCCCCTTCACTCTCCCATAGAAATGGGGGTGGGAGAGATAGTTATCACAGGAACTTGATGATTCCTGGGTCTAGTGACAGGAAAGTCATAAAAAAGTTTTTACACTTATGATGCTTGTGTATGATCAGTTAATACAGTTTGGGAATGAAACTCTCTGTAGCTATCATCATTAGTTGTGCTAGCTACAGTTGACAGAAGACCAATACCTCTAGTGCCAACATTTGGTCACAACTGTAGCAGACACAAGATATCATGATCTCCTAGCCAAGCCAGAACAACACATAAGCCCAGTGCAGCTAGAGATATAAAATTTCCAGAATTCTTGAAGTCACTGATGGAAAAGAGTTTTATTCCCATTTACCCAATTTTCTCCCCAAGCTTTCACATCTATAAAAACAGCAAGTTCATACTAAAAGGTTTGATAGATATTTTATTTTAAATTAAGAACAATTTGACAAAGGAGCAAAAAAACCAAAATTATCTCTGTCTTGTCAAAAGAGAGGGTGGAAATGATTCTATATCAATTACAATATCCAAAGAACCATCATATCAAAATAATTCACTGAAAAGAGAAATTTCTTCCTTGAAGAAGAAAAAATCAGTATAAAACAAAGCCTGAGTGAATCAGAGCACAAAGCCATTCTATCCACAGACATGTTTCCTTCATAAGTTCTTATTTAACCACTCAATGTAGTTATTGACTGCTATCTGTCCCCCATTTAAGAATAATAGACCTGAATTCATCAATAGCATTCCATGAATAGCACCTTCGAGGTGTTCATGTATTACTGGAACTCCTGCTTTTCTAAGACGTGAGACATACATGAGTCCGTCATCTCTCAAGACATCATATTGACACGTGATAACATATGTCAGGGGTAATCCACGCAACTTGATGTCATCAACCAACAGAGGTGCTGCTCTTGGATCAAAGAACTCTGGATATTTCCATCCAACCTTTGAATTTCCTGGTACTGGGCTGGTATAAACATGGTCTCCTTTAAACCTTTCAGGTAGCCATTCACTCCAGTTTACAAACTTAAATAAATGACTAAATTCTGGAGGAACATACTGGTTGGTTTCTATAGCTTCCAATAGAGAGAGGTCGGTGGTAAAGTATTCACTCCAGAATCTGAGCATTAAAGATTTAGGCAGAATTGGCATGTTTCTATTGTCTTGATAGGATGGCAAATTCATGTCAATGGTCTGAAGAGCAGGGTAGATTAAAACTTGGATCTTCAGTTTAACTTTGACATCAGGATCATCTAGAAGCTATAAAAATTTAGAAAGATAAGAGTTGTAATTCTCATATTCTTTTCCCAAAACAATGGATTTATCTAAGCAGAAAATATTTCATAAGTGTAAGTAGAAAGGAGAATTACGAATTTCAGTGTAAGTAGAAAGGAGAATTACGAATTGCAGGGTAATAAGTTTCTTGATTTTGTTATTCAAACCTGGAGAAATAGGTCCAATGTATATTTTTGAGGAGTTCATTTTTTAAAAAAACACATTCATTCCCATCCATTTGTGGGGATTTCTAGATAAGGGTACTAACAGTTGTACGGCATAGTTAATTGTCACGAGGCATTCTATTTTTCCTCTTATTTCCTAATGGACTTTCTCTGGTAAAAAAAGAAGAGATGGAGGAAGTAGTGGGGACATGGCATCATCTGGACATGAGCATATACTCTCCATGAATGAAACAGATTGATTGCATTATAAAGTATTACCTAAAAACACAATTTTTCCATAGGAAGCGTGGCCCGAGATACTCAATATTCTTATTTCCATAATGCATCTTATACTAAGACAGTTCTCAAATTCAGAAGTCTCAAAATTTGAGCTTTTACTCATCATAAATAATAAAGTAACAAAATCTATACAGTAGCATTTATTCACCAGTAAGTTTATTTAGGTAAATAAACTCATACTTCTCCTAGAGCACATCTAGCCTTACCCTATCTATCATTACTTCCCTTATGGGGATGGGGCAACCTGGAAAGAAGTTCTTGTTCATGTGGAAACTTTCCATGCAAATACTGATGCTGGAAAAATCAGGTTTCTTCCTAGTGTGTAGATTTTGCAAATGAATAGGAATGTCTCTTCTATCATATTGCTTTCCACATAGGAAAAGCCACAATGGATGGGGCAAGTTTGGGCACTCACTGTTTCCATGGGAATCAAAGGAGAATAATCTATAATGCTTTTCCTACTGTTCTTTGTTCTGATGTCTTAAAAGTATTTTGGAGGCTCATATAAGACAAGTCCTAATTTGTTCTACTTTTTCTAAGCATAAGACAAGAGTCAACAAGCTAATCATTGTAAATATAATGGAAATTAGAGCATTTCAAATTTCTAAATCCACACAAACATCTGCTAAACAGTTACACAGACCACCAAAACAATTGCTATTACCAAGAGTTCTGGATAATTGTCACTTTGAAATTCTTAGCAACAATTCTGTTTCTGCTACTACACCTTTTATTTAAATTCTTTATTATTTGATGCCCCAGTGCGTAAGGCTTTTAGACCCCAAACATTTTTGGATTTTGTCTCCCAGGCCCCATCGTCTCTTCTATATAACCTAGTTTCTGAAGCCATATTATCTGCTTTGAACTGAATTATATGAGTCTACACTGTCATATAATCCAGTTCAAAGAAGATAATCTGGATTCAGAAACTGGAATATATGGCAGAGTAGATCCACCTCAAAATCTTTAGTCAGACTGTCCTATGAGAACAGATTATGGGAATTGCAGTCTTAAAAATGAATGCTAATCCAAGTTTGCAAATTACTAGATCATGATATAGAACAATGCATGGAAGAAAGTTCTTTCTTTATTTCAACAACTCACTTTATATCAGATATTCTTCCAACAGCATTGTCTACCAACATCTCCAAAAGACTATTGCAGAGGATTCTTTAGTTATATAGAAAGAAACCGCAACTTTAATTTCATCCATTTTGGAACCATTACTATCACATATCTTTTATTCACCTGCTGTGTTACAGCTGCAGCCAAGTTCCCTCCTGCGCTGTCTCCTGAAATGCATACTCTTTCTGGATCTACTTTGTACTGTTCAAGAACACTCCTTTGCAGGAAGTACTTTGATACTGCATATACATCTTCAAACTGAACCGGAAAATGATATTTTGGTGCCAATCTGTACCTTTGTGGGAAAAGACCAAAAGGAAGAATATATGTCATTTATGAAAAACAGAGAGGGAGAGAGAGAGAAAGAGAGAAATTTTAGACATGTCTTCCTGCAATTAATCAGCTTTATTTACATGCTCTTCACATCCTCAGGACAGTTTCATCCTCTACTACTACAAATGGGGATAATGACAGTGCATGTCTGGAACGTCTGTGAAGGAAATCAGGCTGTTGCTTAGAGTGAGCCAAAATTGCAAAGTCACATCATCCATGTAGGAAAAATTAGTAAACTACCTTTTCTCTTTTCTCTTTTACTTTAAAACTCCAATTCAAAAGAAAGAAGCACTCCAGTGCAAAATGCAACATTTTCTCTTTTCACTTTAACACTAGTATCAAACACAAGGCAAGTGTGCTGAATCACCATGTCACTGTCTTTGGCCCTCCAAATACTGAACTCTAACTCCTGTATTCTTCATAGTATCATTACTAGACATCATGACTAGAGCTGATGGGAATTATAATACAGTAACACCTGAAAGGGTGCAGTTTGTACTGTTACTCAGGATGTGGGGTTTGAATTTGGATAGAAGGCTTCTGGATATCATGGCTGACCTTAAAATGTCTTTAGCCTTTCCCCAACTACAAAATCACAAGTACTTCTTGGGTTGCAATTCCCATTATCCCCACTCCACATGACAAATAATGAAAAGTGATGGGAGCTCCTGTTCAATAACATATGTGGAAATTGGTTAAAAACTAAAGAGCACCAATCAATATGTTTAAAAAATCATAGTTGGTCTTTTGTATCCTCTGATTCTCCATCAATGGATTCTACAGCCATTTGAAGGCAAACATAAGGCTGATGTGTCCTTTCATGAAAATGTGTTTGATACCTCTGCTTCAGCATATTGGTGAAATTACAATAGACAGCTACACAAGATGTGCAGATTTTTAGTGGCACACATGTTTGTAGCTAAGATGTCCTTAGTTCATTCCCATTTATAGTTCAAAATTCATCACAAAGTTTTTCAGGTTTGTGCTGACTTGTAACAGCTGCTTTCATGCAGAAGTGGGAGTTTTAATTCATATATTTTCTACACGACCAGACCACCTTATTATATTGGGTCTAGTTGGAATCCTGCTTATAATAAGCCCACTAAAACCAATCGGACTCACATTAGCAGCCCATCTACCATTGATGTCAATGAATTTAGCTGTATCGCTTAATCTAGTTCCAACCCACTGTATTTCTTCTTTTCTTAACTTGTGATTAATTGCCAATTCTTGTAAAAGAAAAGACAGAATTATGGGGAATAAAAGAGAGCTATCAAATTGTGCCGTCGCGCCTGGGGCTATAGAGAAAAAGGCATGGACGTGATATCTTTCCCTAGGGGATTGCTTCTTGGGAAACTGGAACTCCCAAGGACCAGAACACAACAGGTAACTCGAAATGGTGTTTATTGTTGACAGTGAGTTCACTTTCTTAGGCACGAACTTGATGTTTCAACAGGGAAAAATACTTTATAAACAGGGTCCTAGGAGTTATAAGCTGAGAAGCTTTTCCTGTTCCCTCTCTCTCAATAGCTGTGAATGCTGGAGCAAACCACAACCCCAGTTCAGTGGCCTATGTTGAAGGACAAGACCTTCTTATGGTGCCAAAAAACTGGAATGAAGGCACCTGAGATCTTCACAATGTCGTTCAGGGGGTTTGAACATAAAGTATAAGACTCAGGGGTAAAAAACCTAAGAGCTGGTGGTAAAAAATGCCTTGACCAGGGGCTTTGGGCCAAGCTTTGCACACGTCCATCCAATGAGTCTTTTTCTGAGCTAAAAAAGGTGAGAGAGATACCTTTCCTTTCTCCCTTGGAAGGGGTGGAGCTTAAACAAATGAACTGGGGAAACAAGCCAATTGGTGCACTACAACAATAAATTGACAGCTATAATAACCAATGAAATTTAACTATACATATACAAGGTAGACAGGAATAAAATGACAGTTTAAATCCTGCAACTAACAGTACTACATATATGTGGCGCCACATGCGCCGTCACACAAATAGCACAAAGTTGGATTGTCTCAGTTAATATTGCATAAAATCTTAATATTGCTTTTGAAAGGGATTGCTTTGTGTGAGCTGGCCAAATAAAAAAATGGGATACAAAAGAAAGTAATGTTTGTAGATGAACTGATTTCTCCCTCCAGTGTTACTGAAACATTATTAAAATGACATCATTTGCTTTTTTTCAACTATTATATGTATTCTCATGTGACATTTTCTCAACAGCATCAGATCATGCATTAGATTATTATGACTAGTGTGTCTGTATGGATACTGCCCTTCAATCATGTTTTTCAGGGTACTTTATATTTAAAAAATACAATTGGCCCTCTATAATTGCAGACTTGATTTTTGTGGATTTGTTTATTCACTGATTTGATTAAAATTTTCTCTAGGAATTCTCTAGGTCTTCCAGTGTGATCCTGTGGTCAACTTCTGGCAGAACCAAGAGCTTCCTAGGGAGGTGTCCTTGTGGATTTTTAATTCCCCTTTTCCCCACTTTCTAATATCCTTTTTCACTCCCATGCCTCTAACCCCAGCAAACATGGAGGGTTAACTGAATGTATAAATCCTGATCTGTTTCTGGACACCATTCAAAATTATGGACATGAATAAATAAATAAGTAAGTAAATACATATTTTCATGGATTAACAAATGTAGAGAAGTCTATTATTGCAATTGAAACTGGTCCGTTAAAAAGAAGTCATCATTTATCTGAAAGATAGGGTTAAATATGGCAAAACTCATGAAAATCATGGGGTTTCTACATCCCCATCCATAATCCATACTGGATTATTATGTGTACTCGTCAGTTCTGGATTGTCATAATTTTTAATCAGATGCACAAAGAGAAAAAAAAGAATGAATATGAATTCTCCAAAATTTCACTTTGGAGCAGTCTTTCTTACTCAATTGATATGACGACTGCATTTAATCTTTCAGATGTCCATCTTGACAGGAGGTCGTAGGAACCCATGGCTGCAACAAAATTAATGACAAAACATATTTTACTGCACTTACAAAACAAATGGAGGCAGTTCCCTATTTTTCTTGGCAGTGGCTTTTTAAGCCTTTTCCATGAATCTCTACAGTTCAGTGATTCCTTGGCAACAGAAAACAACCTCTGCACAAATTGCTTTATCTAAAAGGTGGAACTATATCAACCATGACTAAGTGTCTTGTCTGGAATCCAAGGAAATATCTTAGACAGGCATGTAGCCGGGGGGGGGGGGGGGCTTGAGGGGCTTCAGCCCCCCCCCCAAAATTCTCATGGTGGTTCGCGAAAAGGCCTTACTGGTGCATTATTTAAACTGTTATGTTTATTCATTTCATGATCTGATCACCATACTCAATATATCCCATATGCATGGGGGTATTGGGGTAATGATACAAAAGTTTGCTAGGGTAGACCCTCTTTCACTCAGACTCAGCCCCCCCCCCGAAACTCAGCCCCCCCCGAAACCCCCCCTGAAAAAAACTCAGCCCCCCCCCCCGAATCGAAATCCTGGCTACGGGCCTGTTTGGAGGAGATCCCCCCCCCATTCCTTCATTTTACACTTTGGATATGTGATATATATTATATACCCTATGTTACATGTTTTCATCTCTGAGTATCACAAAAAAATCCAGTTTCACACATGTACATTAATGTAATTATGGATTTGTGTCTGATTAGAAAACTATGCTTATTTAATTATTAATTTTACCTTCTATGAGTTTATAATGATGTTACCTTGTACTGTTTCTGCTTTATCACCAAGGCATTGAATGTTTGCCTTTTTGCCTGGAAGCCACCCTGATTCCCCTCGGGGAGATAAGGTGGCCTATAAATAAAGTATTATTATTAAAAGAAAACCCTTAATATGCATTATGCTTTGTGGTTTATGCAATCATCATCCGGATATGATGTTTTTAATGATTGTAAAACTGATGTTGGAAACCGGCCTGAGTCCCTCAATAGAGGTGAGAAGACCGGTATACAAAACTGCTAAATAAATAAATAATAAATCTTAAACTGGTTTGAGGTTTTCCCTTTTCCTCATCTGCACAGCAAAACCATTTTCTTTTATATCTGTTTGAAGCTGCAAAAAATGGTCAATGAGAGGGTAATAAATTGCTTAGAAGATCCAAAGTTGTAAGGATTAATGCTGCAGCTCTACATTACTTTAGGAAAGTAATTCTTCACTTGAAGGAAACAATTGGTAATTTTAATAATTTTCTTTCTATTGTGAAAAAGTCTTCAACAACAACAGAGTTTTTGAAATCTATTTGCAATTCAGAACTTATAATGGAGAAGATTTGCCTGTGTTGTTTTGCCCAGAAAACAACATTTTCTGCATGGAACTGTTATTTTCCTTTTGCAAAAAAGTGGTTTTTGATTCAAAGCAAACAGATGCAGTTTATTCTTCTTAGAAAATGTTTTGCTATCTGAGAGGAAGAAACAAATGGTTCCTATCTACAAAAACTGACCAGTGTGCCAGGTGAATTCACAAATGGGGCAGATTTCTTCACCACATCTTAGAATTGCAAGCTAAATTAGAGCATATGGCTCAGGGTTCACATCCCACTCCTAACTCCCAAGGCTTCACCATTGATACTTTCAGCCTTGAATCTTCTACATAATAGTATAGGTAATAATGCATGTATCTGCAGATCTTTTAAGACAGAGTTTATCTGCTTTCAGAACATTTTCACTAAAATTACAGCTATTAATTGACGGAATTTGACCGTTAAACTGATTTGCTAATCTAGGATGGTGTCATGTTCTCAATTGGATATTCTGCTGTAGTAGATCTCGCATTACTTTCTACTTAACATAAAGCACTATTCCGCTGAATGTCAGTTGCCAGGATCCACAAGGGGGCAGGAAAGAGTTATGGCTTTTTCATCCCACTTGTAGACAATCCAGAAGCATCTGATTATGTGAATGAGATGATAGACTAAATTTACTTTGATATGGAGCCATTAAAGCTTTTCCTGTGCTCTTTAAGATTTTCAATTCCATATTCCATTTACTGAACTGTCACCAAGGATCTCTCTTGGATCATCTGAATTAATAATTGGGCAGAGTCTTAACTAGGATGCATGCAACACAAACATCACCATTCAAGAAACATCAGAATTTGGTGTCATTATGTCCATCCTTTTATCAAAAGCCACAGTATATTAAGCTCTCGTGCTAGAACATGGTTGAACAACTATTGGATTACCTCCTCCTCCTCCGTGACCCTCAGTGGTTCATATGTTATTTCTATATCAATTTTCAACTTTTCAATTTTCCTGATACACCTAGGGTCCATAAAAATGACCATGGGTACCTCCTACAGCCCATGGGCAGAACTATGACCTCCCTTGGATGAAAGCCGCTTTGAGTCCCCCCAGAAGTGAGAAAGGCACCACCTTCTCAGTGGTGGTCCCTCGGCTGTGGAACACCCTTCCCGTGGACATCAGACAGGCTCCTTCCCTGTTGATATTCCGCAGAAAATTAAAAATCTGGTTGTTCAAGAAGGCGTTCGAACAAGAAGTGCAATGATTGGTAATGACTATAGGAATGGAATAACGGAAATGATATTGGATCGTGGTTTGGACAATGAGACAACGCTGAAAGGTTTCATAGTAATGACAATGTTTTGTATAATGCTTTTTGTATAATGTTTTTTGCATAATGGTTCGAGAATTGTTTTTATACTGTGTTTTGTATTTTGTTCTTCCCATGTTGTACACCGCTGTGAGTCGCCCTTGGGCTGAGAACAGCGGTATAGAAGCAAAGTAAATAAATAAATAAATAAATACTGTAAATAAATAAATAAACCGCTTTGAGTCCCCCAGGAGTGAGAAAGGCGATATATAAATAGTGTAAATAAATAAATAAATAAATAAATAAATAAATAAATAAATAAAGCCAGTGTAAAAATTTAACCAATCCCTCATGTATGCAGGGAGTAAGTAACAATGTTTTACTAATGTATCCACAGCATGTAGTATTTCGGCCTATGATAACCAGAAATCACTGTGGGATTATGTGATTTCTTATTATTATTTGTAACTCCCCCTCCCCAAACAACTTTCTCACACTATTTTCAACAGATGTCCCCTAGAAAGACTTTATAAGGAACTTTTGGATTTAGAAGGCTACCAGCAGCCAACCTTATAGCATCTTGCACGACAAATTCCACCTCATGAAAAGCCTAAAGATAGAAACCTCTATCCTTCAAACTACATACAGGTCTCTCCATCCAACCTGCAGTTTACTTGACTGTTATCACCAGTCAATAAACAGCAATAACTGGGTAGTAGGAGATAATGAATTTTAAATAACTGTGCCCTGAGTAAATATTTTTAATTCAAGGTCCATACTAGCAAGAGAAAATGCTTCCTGCTTACCTGCCGCTCCAAGACACCATCCACCTCCATGAATAAAAATTACTGCCCTTTTCAAAGAGTCAGGCTTTTCTTTAGGGACATATAGACGAACTGGAACATCATTCATTTTTGTGTCTGTTACAGTGACCTTATCATCTGATACTGGTGCTACATTTTCTAAATATGTGAGCATCATCATTGTTTCCATGTAATGGGCAAGACCCAGTTTCTCAGCGATGCCAGCCTGGAAAACAAAGGGAATATTTATGTCAGAGGAGGGTTTTTTTTGTAAAGCTTCAACTGCATAATAGTCCACATTCACCAGTACGCCTTTCCTTTATTTAAATTTTGATGCCAAAATTCAACAAACATGCAATCATCATCATCAACAATCTTTTAGGCTTTATAAATGCCCACAGCAAAACGTCCTGGGCTTTTGCTACAGTTTTGTTTCATATGAAAGAGCACTGGAGATTTATCATTCTGTGAAATATATTGGGTGTAATATTGGAGGTTTGAACTCTGGGTTTATATAAGATCTACATGAAGAATCAAATCTTAGCCTAAATCCAATTGTTAGCCCCAACTAGAATTGACCCATTGCATCAGTGGGAAATTAGCCCCACAACACTTATGTAATTTCCACTAATTCAGTGGATCTCTTGGAGTAGATTAAAAGCACTGAATTTACAACTATGTAATTAAATATAAGAGTTCACATGTAGATGTTACTGGGGAGATGCAACTTAGTGGCAGCTGGGCATTCTCAAAGAGTTAGACAAGGCTCCAAACCTTATCCAGTTATAGCAGTGGTTCCCACCTTGTGGACCATGGACCACCAGTGGTCTACAAGAACTAAAATATGGTCCGTGGCCTCACAGTTACTACACCATTTCAATGATAGGAACTGTTCTCGCGAAACCTTCTTATAGTGCCGAGATTTAATAATGGTAGGTTACATACCTGTGACCATCTTTCTTCGAGTGGTGCTCTGCGAATTCACACTTGTGGAGAGACTGCGCCTGCGCGGGCTCCAACGGAAACTTCTACAGTTTAAACTTTTCAAGTTTTGGCGGTAACCCAGCCCAGCCCCGGCAGGGGATAAAAGGGCGCCCCGCGCATACCGTCACAATTTCTACGCCGCTACGGTAGCGAGAAATTGGAGGTTTGACTGAGGGGAGGCTGGGTGGGTTAGTGTAAATTTGCAGAGCACCACTCGAAGAAAGATGGTCACAGGTATGTAACCTACCATTTTTCTTCATAGTCTCTGCGAATGCACACTTGTGGAGACTAGCAAGCTCAGGTCCCGGAGGCGGGAAGAAGGCAAACCGACCAATAAAGTCAAGGGCTAAACAATTTTATTAAGTGCAAACAGTTACTGAACAAGAGATTGTAATCACTTCCTAAGAAGGGCACAGTGCATAAACTTATGGGAGTACGTGATCCTCCCGGCCACGTGAGGATGGCCAATTTACAGTGAAATACACTCAACAAGTGAGGGCATTCTTGAACGATTACATAAACTTTTGACCCTTGGTAAACAAAAACATACTCATTATGGAACACACTCATTGCAATGAGGGCACTTCAAGTAGTTACAAAAACACTTTTGTCAATAGGTGCAAAAACACATTTGCAAGGCAAACTGGTCGATAGCGAAACAAAGCACTACCCGTAATGAGCCCCACGAGGCTGGAGTGCAAGGTTGCCTGTGCATCAGGCAAGAAAGGCATCAAGTATAACAAGTGCAATTATATTCACCATTATCATTAAACAGCTCTATTCGAGCAAACACATGGTAATAACATTCACAAAATATACGGTACCGAAGAGGTTCACGGTACCGACGAAACAAGAAACTTGTGAAGAATTCTATGGCGGACACGACTCCAGAATTGCCCTCCCAAAGGCCATGTCAGGTGCATACCTGGTATTCAGTCTGTAATGTGAAACAAATGTCTGAGGATTTTTCCAAATGGCCGCCTTACAAATAGCGTCCAGAGGAATCCCCTTAAGGAAGGCTGTCGATGCTGCCATCGCCCTGGTTGACCGAGCCCGGACAACCAAGGGAGGTTGCTGTTGAGCCAGCTGGTAACAAAGCTCGATAGTCGAGGTGATCCAGTGGGACAAACGCTGTGCCGTAATCGGCAAACCCATCTTGTCATGGGCATATGCAACAAACAGTCGTTGAGTCCTCCGAGACTGAGCAGTTCTGTCCCTGTAAAACAGTAATGCCCTCCGCACATCGAGTATATGGAGTTTTTGCTCCGTCGGGGTAGAGGGAGATTGAAAAAACGAGGGAAGGACAATGTCTTCATTAACATGGAAAGGGGATACAACTTTAGGGAGGAATGTCACATCTCTGCGGAGAATTGCCCTGTCCTCATGGACAACAAAGTACGGTTCGTCCACCCGTAGTGCTGCAAGTTCCGACGGCCTACGGGCCGAGGTGATCGCGACCAGAAAGGCCACTTTCCATGAAAGAAGTCGGATATCGATCGACGCCAGAGGTTCGAAGGGCGCTTGTGTGAGCCGGGCCAGCACGAGGTCGAGGTTCCAACCGGGAGTTGGAGAGCGAACTGGGGGATGAAGGTTGTTGAATCCCCGCAGGAAGGACTTCACGGAGTTATCCTTGAACAAGGAGGCTTCCCCTCTTCGTTGAAGCTGCCAAGAGATGGCCGCTAAGTGAGACTTGAGCGACGATAGCGACAAGCCCCGTTCGGTAAGGTGCAGTAAGAACAAGAGAATTGACGGTACCGAAGGCCGAGGATCGTCAAGCCCCTTCTCAGAGAGGAAGGCCTGGAAACGGTTGAGGCACGCCGAATAGCATTTCTTGGTCGCTGGCTTGTGAGCTGCGGCCAGGATCGGGAGAACTCCTGGACAGAGAGACTTCAAAACTGGATCCTCCACGCCGAAAGATGAAGAGAAGCGAGGTCAGGGTGGAGTAGTTGACCCCCTTCCCGGGAGAGTAGATCTTGCCGAAGTGGAAGGCGTCTCATCCGTCCCTCTGACAGCTGGAGGAGGACTGAGAACCACGGTTGTCGTGGCCATTCCGGCGCTATTAAGATGCAGTTCGTTTGCGCCGATTGGATCCTCTCGATCACCCTCGGGATGAGCGGGAAGGGTGGGAAGAGGTAGAGCAGATGTCTCGACCAATCTAGGAGGAATGCGTCTCCGAGACACCCCGGTACCGTGTTCGGAGCAAGCCGAGCACCGAACTGCGGGAGCTGAGCGTTTTGGGGCGACGCGAAGAGGTCAGCAGCCAGAAGGCCCCATTCCCTGAAGATCTTGGCCAGCTCGTCGGGGTTCAACCTCCACTCGTGCGAGGTCGACTTGGTTCTGCTGAGCGCATCCGCCTCTATGTTGGTCTCGCCCGGAAGGTGCAGGGCTGTTACCGATACCGATCTGGCTACACACCAGTCCCACAGTTCCAACAACAGTTTGAGCAGCTTCCTCGAGCCCGTTCCGCCCTGCTTGTTCACATAGAACATTGCCACCATGTTGTCCGTAAGGATTTGGACAGACTTCCCGGTGACCAAAAGGGCAAATGCCCTTAGGGCTTTGAAGATCGCCAGCAACTCCAAGTAATTTATGTGGCATTGTCTTTCCTGTGGAGACCAGAGATCGTGTACCGAGAGGTCTCCTGTATGGCATCCCCATGCGAACATCGAGGCATCCGTCGTGATGGTGACGGATGGAGGGTCTGGGTGAAATGGAATGCCCTTGCAGACATGCTGGCGGTTCATCCACCAGCTCAGCGAGTCCTTCACCGACTTCAGGACCGTCAAGCGTTTCGTGGCACTGTCCCACAACGGGTTGAACTGATCTAGGAACCATCTCTGGGGGGGACGGAAGTGAAGCCTCGCCAATGGTGTTACCATCACCGTGGAGGCCATGTGCCCGAGGAGGACCTGTATCTGTTTCGCTGGAACCACTCGGGATTGACGAACTTTGAGCGCCTCGGCACGAAGAGCTCTGAATCTCTCCTCCGGGAGAAACACTGACTGGGAGAGAGAATCGAACATGGCGCCGATGAATTTTATGCAAGTGGTGGGTTCCAGTTGAGATTTCTCCTCGTTCAGCTGGAGGCCCAGGTTTTCGAGGAGGGAAAGTGTCTTTGCCACCTGGATCCGCAGGAGGTCTGGGGAGCGGGCCGCCAACAACCAGTCGTCTAGGTATGGGAAAATGCGGATTTTTTCCCTTCTGAGGGCTGCTGCGACCACCGACATGCATTTGGTGAAAGTTCTCGGTGCCGTCACGAGCCCGAACGGAAGCACGTTGAAGGCATAAGTCTGTCCCGCTACCCTGAAAGCCAGGAAGCGTCTGTGGTGTTTTCTGACAGAGAGGTGGAAATAAGCGTCCCGGAGATCGACGGACACGAAGAAGTCCCCATATCTGAGGAGAGGGAGTATGGATGATACCGTCACCATCCGGAACTTCTGAGGTTCGATGAAGGAGTTTAAGTCCCTGAGATCGAGGATTGGGCGGAGGGAGCCATCCGGCTTTGGGACAGTAAAGTATCTGGAGAAGAAGGCTCGATGGTTTTGAGAGTCCGGTAGGGGGGAAATGGCCCCTTTCAGAAGCAAGGTCTCGACTTCTGTTAGAATTGCCAAAGATGGTTCGGTATCGACAATAAGTCCCGTTGGTGGGAGCTTTCAAACTCCAATGCATAGCCTTCGTCGACAATCTTTAAAACCCATGCATCTGAGGTGATATTTTCCCATGCAGGGAGAAAGTTCGTCAAGCGATCCCCGAACAGTGTCGAGCCGGATGGAAGGATGAGGGCGGGTACCATTGGGAGGGACATGGGAACAACATCGGTAACGGAACTGCAAGCGGTATCGCCCATTGGGGCGTCAAATGCGGCGCCTGGCCTGGTTGCCTCCTGGAGCCTGGCGGGATCGTGAGCGTTGCTGTTGATGTTGCCTTCGCTGCAGTTGAGGCTGTTGAGGGTGGGTTTGCTGGGAAGCATGCAGAGGATGGGCTGGCTGGTGGTATTGGATCGTACGGTACGGGACCGTGTGCTGACGCTTGTATTGGAACCATCTGGTTCTCTGTGCCTGGTTCTGGTTTTCGAACCCGCACTTGGCCGCCAAAGTCTTGAAGTCATGATTTGACTTTAGCTTGTCGTCCGTCCCGGCATTAAAGAGTCCCAGGGTGTCAAACGTGAGATCCTCGATGACCTGCCTCGAGGATGTTGAGAGGCCAGAGGACCAGAGCCAGGCATGCCTCCTAATCGCTACG